CTGCTGAAGAAAACCTGGTGCACAGCTTTATCTGTTCCTAGACAAGCAAGAACCCTCCCTCCTCCAGAAAATGAGAAATAATTCGCAATGCACCTTCAGAAACTATGCCGCAAGTTATTTGATAACACTGATATCAATCAGAACAGTGAATCCACAGGTAAGAAGTAGATACGCCTCAATTTGCATTGACATCCCTGTTTACTTAAATTTCTGCTGCTATTTGAAGCTTTCTAAGCTAGAGACGCTGTTTGGTGTTTGCTCAGTGTTCTTTATGAAATCTGTGGTAAGATAACATCAACACAAGATACTTCCTTGACTTGCTGTACTGTTAAAACACTTGTGGAAAAAAGGCATTTTGCTGTAAACACGTTGTTGCAAGAAGTAAAAAAATAAAACCCTAAAAGAGTAGTGAGAAAGACAAGTAAGTTTATGGATTTTGTAAAGGTATCTAATAATATGTAGCAAATCTGTATTCACTGGATAGCTCCCTCAGAACAAGACCAGCACTTTTTCAACATGTCTTGTGGAGAAAATTGGTCTATGCTGAGTTTTTCAAACTAGTGTAGCACAGATTTGGGAAAACCTCTATTAGAAACAGAAAATATGTCAAAATTAATTTAAGATAGTTTTAAAAAGGAGCATTTTGTAATCTTTCCATACTGATATATAGTCACAAAATTAATCTACAGTTATGTATTTTGACAGCGTGTAACTTTTTATTTGCTTATGTAAGTGTATCTTAGAGAGACCAGGTAAATATAAACTACTTCTATTAAGTGCACTAAATCTGTGCACACCTACAGGAGAAAATAATCAAGTTAAACTCATTTAACAGTGCCTGCTATATTCACATTACAAAGAACTATGTTTATTCTTACAAAGCACTTACAAAACCACTGAGAAACTTGTGAACACTTGCCTAAAGATATGCCAATATATACACACACCTTAAGAGTGTTCCCTGCAGGTCAAGACAAGACAGCAATTGTGCACTCTACTTCTCCGTGGTACAGCTACTTAAAGAGAGAGCTTGTGTGTATATCCATGTCTATGTGTATATATAATTATCTCCAGAAGGTATCTGGAAAGTATGGTCACAGTTTACATTGTAATCAGTATCACACTTGTAAAATTACTGGTAACTTCCAAAGTTATCTCAGTAAAGAAATTCTACCTCTACTTAAGTTTCTACCTTTAATTTCCGTTAGCTTCAGGATTAGCATAAAGAATTAAATACTAATATCTTGACACTTAAATTTTATTCTTGACTTTTCCTCAATGTTTGTCAATTTTAACTGTTGCAAATTTTTAACCAAACCATGAAAGAGGTTCTTTAAATAGAATATATGTACATATCAAAATAAAATTTGTTGTCACCTGAAACATTGACTATGTGGATCTAGAATAAGAATAAACCAATAGTACATTACCAAGTCCATTTTCTCTGTCATTATTTTCTCAATTTTATTTGGAAATATGATAGTTATCTGACTCAATTTTATTTTATATAGGGTTTTTGCAGGGATCGCTGGAGAAAGAGGCAGAGAAAGTATTAGCTCCAATCCCCTGACACCAAATTGTTAGCTGGTGGTATCTTTACTTCAATGTGCCTAGACATACATTGATGATGAATGAGGAATGCTGCATAAGATGTGCTTTTTATAATGGATTAAGAAAAAGAACAGTACCACTAACTGCTGGCTAAGTGGTTCTTTTGATTACTTGCTGGTTATAGATTTGATTTAAAAAAACAAATTAACAATGTGCTGATACAGACATTTTGGAGGTTGTAGGCAAGAACAATTTTCTTCACTGCTGCAGAAAAAACATCAAGAGTGCAGGCAGTGATACAATTTATGAAAAGGTTGAACACCCTCTTTGGTATTCACTTATAATACCACATTGCCAGAAAGGACTTGTTAATGGGTTCTTTTTCTGTGCTAGTTTCATAACTTTCCATACTGCCTCCCACCACAGAGGAAGTTTTATTTTCTTCTGATTAAGAAAAGAAACCTAAAGTCTTTTCAGAATTACTAGCCAAATTCCTGCAACTTCAGGCCTCAAAATTAGTGACTTAACCTGCCTAAGTTTCAAGCATCTGACCTTTTCTTTTGAAGATAGTGAGAACAGTTGCACATTTGGCACTTTAAATTTAAAACTTGAGGATAAACACATTAGGGTTAGCAGTTTTAGTTCCTTTCTCTTTCCAGCTAGCAGCCCTCTTTCCCCTGCTTTTCCACATTCCCACGTTTTTTTTCTGCCTGGCATCTTTTCTTCTTTTCTTGACCAACTGATTTCAATTCTTACATTATCTGCATTGTCATATAATCTGAGTCTGGACACAAGTCAAAGAATGAAAAAACAAAACAAACTTCTTCCCACTCCAAAAGGAAGAAAGTTTCTAAAAGGATTTTACTGTAAGACTTCCCAGAAAGCAAGCAGTTTTAGAACTGGCTCAAAGCTATCAACTCTTACCAAACAGCAAGCTGTTAAAACTCTGTTCAAATGTCACTTGTGCGTGGGAGGAAGGGTAAACAACTGACTGCTGATTTGAGAGCTTTCTGAATTTTGCTTAGTGTTTTGAAATCTTTTGATTTCAAGCTATGGCATCACAAGCATTTTTTCTCCAAGACCAAAATAAAATACTTCGCAAAATGATAAACATTCTCCTATTCGCACAGAGTGAGTCTCAAAGCGTGACAAAAGTATACTTCGGATTTTTAGAAATAAACCTTCCCATTCAATATTTACTTCTTACGAAACGTTCCAGTTTCCTTACTTAGTCCTCTTCATGAAGTAGATGTAAAGCAATGTTTTCTTTTCAAAAAAACCCAAGCCAAACAAAAAAACCCCAGACAGGTGCTCACCGCCATGCTGCTCTCAAGGTTTTGACTTACTACTCTGTCTGCTGTTGCATCTCATTTGAGTAGTGGGACATATTTCCTATCCTGTAAGAGATTAATTATGGTTTTTGGGCATTGTACTGCCTCAAAATTAAACAAATTTATGGGAAACTCTAGTGAAGAGCTGACATTTAATACTAAAAAAAAAAAAAATCAATCTCCGGTTTTGTCAAATCTTAAAGTTTCTCTTACTTAACCTGTTGATAGAGTACTTTCTGCCTTACTGAGAAACTCAGTTCACCAACTCTTTGGAAAACCTGACAAAGGGCACCATATTTATCTAAAGCCTCACACAGAAGATGACTGCACTCGTGACATTTCCTGAAAGATTTATTTTAGGAAAAAATTGTACTCTAACACCCATTCATTATAAGCATACATTAAAGCCCCCTCTTAGGATTTCCCTGCAGAATCAGTGCAGGAACCAGCAAATAAAACATCTGACTTGTTTTTCTCAATGGGTCATCGAGAAGGATTGGCAAAGCAAGCATCAATCCCATTTCCAGTGCCATGCAGAAGCTACAAATACTTCCTTTAAATACATATTTAAATGTTTTGAAGCCACTACCTGCAAGCCAAGAGCGAGCAGCTCACCTTGCATTTTGGACACTTCTGGGCATTCCTCTGCCCGTGTTCGATTTCGTTGGCCCAGTGACGCAATAGCTTGTCTCCCTTCTTGTATTCTTTGCAGTTAACGCCTTCATGCCAGGGAGAGTGGCACTTGAAACACCAGACAAATTGGCAAGATGGACACTGGATCTGTATAAATGAGAAAATACCACACATTTGCAAGCTGGGCATCAACCCAACTGGAAATTCTGTTTTAAAAGTACTGCTCTTAATTTAAGGAGTACCTGAGCAGCAAAGACTTAACATCTTTTGAAATGTCTGTTTTAAAAATACAAGAAGTTGTGGAAGCTAACTTGTTCTGTTTCTTTTTTAAAAGAGAGAAAATACAGAAAAAGGCCCCAGTAAAACAGAGCACAAGTAGCTCTTGTAACCACCTAAAAATTAGCAGTCAGTTTTCAGTGGGGTGGATCTCAATCTTCTAGTTATTAACTTCACTGCCAAGGCTATCACCAGGGAGTACCTGGTCTTCTGAAGGGGCTCTGCAGAGCCCAGAATGGGTTATGAAGCTCATATTAGCAGCAGTCTTGACAAAAGGGACCAAGAGCAAGGGTCTCAACCAAGGGCCACAACTAAAACCTGGAAGCCCAAGACCTCCTTTTGCTCTTGATTGTGCAAGGGCAAGCTGGGGTCTGTGCCAAACCACCCACTTGTTACAGACCACACCTAATGGCAAAAAAACACAAGCAGCGGTCCTTAAAATGAGAAAGGATCTATTCTTGCCACTCCTGAGGTTTTAAGTCATTGCATCGAACAGGTACCATCGTCATATTTTCCTCCAGAGCCTGGCCATTTTTTTGAAAAAAGCTATGGCAAGTGCTGTGCTTGTAGAAGTAATAAATAAAGGCATATTACAACTGTTCATCTGATGAAAGACAGGCCACCTACCTGGATCATGACTAAGGAAAACAAGAACTAGAAGCTGCATTAGATACAGGCACATCTAGGCTCCTGCAGGATGTTCACTCCTGCTGTGTTTGGCAG